CTTATGCTTGCAAGGCAAGTGGCGGAACCTCTGGGCTAAATCCCTGGCCCCTCTGAGGCCTCTATTCTATTTCACTTGTTAGTGTCTATTTTTTTTTTTTGTCAAAAACATTATTTACCATGACTCTGTAATATATTTTGAAATCAGGTATTATTATGTCTTCAGCATTGCTCTTTTTGCTCAGGATTGCTTTGGCTAGTCAGGATTTTTGTGCCTCCATATGAATTTTAGGATTGTTTTTTCTAGTTCTGTGAACAGTAACATTGTTTCTGTTTTTTGTAGCACTGGGATTGAACCCAGGGCCTTTATACTGAGCTGTGTCCTTAGCCCTTTATTTTTTATTTTGGGCACTTTATGGCTAGGTCACTAAGTTCCCAGACTGACCTGGAGTTTGCAGTCCTCCTGCCTCAGCCTCTCAGAGTACTAGAATTATAGATGTGTGCCCAGGCAGCATTGTGGGCACTTAGGGTAATAATATTCATATTTTAACAATATTAACCTGTCCTGTAAAGCTACATGATCCCAATGATGAATGTAACTGTACTGTATACCTAAAATGTACCAATAAACTCAACGAGGAAAAAAAACCCAATATTAATTCAATTAGAGTTGAGAGTTCTGTGCATATTCTTCATCTTTTTCAATTTTTTTCTTCACTATTTCATAATTTTCATTGTAGAGTCCTTTGCTTCATTAGGTTTATTCCTAGATTTTTTTTTCAGGGGGAGGCTATTGTGAGTGGGATACTTTTCCTAATTTCTCTCTTAGCAAACTTACTATTAGTTTGTAGGAGAGCTGCCAATTTTTATATATTGATTTTTTTAATCATGCTACTCTTCTGGATTTATCAGTTTTAAGTCTTGAGACATCTTCAGAGTTTTCTCAGTATATAATCATATTATCTACAAACAGGGATAATTGGATTTCTTTCCTATTTGTATACCTTTTATTGCCTTCTCTTACCTGATTACTCTAAAATTTCTAGTGATATACTATACTGAGCAAGTGTGGCAAGAGTAGATACCCTTGTTTGTTTGTTTTCTCATTTTAAAGGAAATGCTTTAAGTTTTTCCCCATTTAGTATGACATTAGCTGTGAGTTTGTCATGTACAACCTTTATTATGTTGAAGCATAAACCTTCTGTACCTGTTTTATTTATATCTTTTATTATGAAGGGATGTTGAATTTTATCAAAGGCTTTTTCTATGTTTATTGAGGTAATTGTGTGATTTTTATCCTTGATTCTATTCGTGTCCTGTACTGAACTTTTTGATTTGTGTATTTGAACCATGCTTGCTTCCCTGGCATGCAACTAACTTAATTGTGGATGTTTTAAACATAAGCAACTCGGACATGTTGATTTTAGATATAGTTTGATAGTATGCTTTACAAAACCTTTAATTTTAAAGTACTGTTCTGTTGTCATAAAGTTTTTTAAAGGATTTAATTCTATGATATGTAAACACAACCAGGAATTATTTTAAAATAATTGTATTTGTCTTTTATTTTACAGCTCTTTTTCTTTTTTGAGTATCGAACTCACAATCTTGCACTTGCAAGGCAGGCATGATGCCACTGAGCTAAATCCCCGGATATTTTCTGCTAACTCTTGCGGTTATTCCTTGTATTTGACTTTATAGAGAAAAACAAAATTCATTTTTGAGCCAATTTTGAACATTTAAATCATGAACCCAGACTCAGAATTAAGTAAAAATCTACAGAATTAGTTTGGGGTGAAAATTTCTAAAATTAATACTTGAGTGCAAACTAAAACTGCCAAGTGGCTAATGAAGTAACTTGCTTTTGGAGAGAGCTACTTTCATATTTCCAGAAACTGGACTGAAGCTGGCCTTTGTGACTTCGAAAATTGTATTTTTACTAAGGTGAAGAAAAGCTTAATGATTTCTCAGTCAAGTAATATCCATATCCTTCTAGCAGAATAAGTCTATAAGCACAATGAAATGACTTTAGAGAATCCAAAGTCATCAGTGCTCTTGCTAATGATGCAAGTGACCTGGTTCTCAGGTATGAGAGGAATGGGAATTCTTGAGTGTGTGAGCTTCTGTATCTCTGCCTAAGCAAAGATCTTCTTAAATGAATTAGATGAATTACAGCTGTTAAGTGAAGGTAAAATTAGGAATATCCTAATGAAAAGAGATATCCAGTATATTTGAAACTAGTTTACTCTCTGGTTTAGCTTTGTATTATTTTATTTTTCTCTTGCAGTAAACTTTATTATCTTCAGAATACAAGTTAAGGAATGAGAGGCAAGGAAGAAAGGACATTCATCTTGGAAACATTCAGAGCACTTTGAAATTTTCAATGAATGTAACGTTAGCTGCTATTACCCACTTTTGTCACCAGAATGGATGAAGTGCTTCAGATGTAAACGGTAACTAGAAATTTCTCATAATGTTTCCACCTAGAACTTTATGTGGCTTGAGAGGATTTAAATGTTTACAGATGCCAAACTGTAGCTAAAGTTTATAATTTTACATCTTAGCGTTGTCAAGGCTTTATTTTGATCCTTATGTTTGTTCAAAAAATTGTTTTCCTCCCAGCTTTTTAATTTAGAAACATAAGCTTATTTAAGAAAAAATGTGATATATACCAGTACATGGCTAAGTCCATCCTTCATCAAATATTTTTTGCTTCCACAGAAATAAACCACACAAAATAAGTATTCATTCTTTTTATATATACAAAAGTTTTTAGGTCTTGTTTTCTAAATCTTATTTCTTTTGTTTTGTTTTGTTTTAGTTGTCTGCCTTGACACCTGGACTCTCTCTTTTCTTATCTGGGTTGTTATTTTTATTTTACCTTTATTTTTTCCTTTGCCCCTCTCTACCTTTTAGAAAAATCACCTTGCACAACTGAGTCACAAAAGAAAAAAAAAATCCAGAGAAAAAAACAAGAGAAGGAAATTTGAAATGACTATAAATTTTTTTCTTATTAAATTGCAAGGACAGTTAGATTTCAAGTACAGTGAGATGCAATTATATAGACTTACAATTATCAATCTTCTTAAATCTTCTTTACCTTAGACTAAAATTATTTCGGTGGATGTTTTACAATGATTGAAAATTTGTAAATTCTTAATATTATCCCAGTGAGCAATTATAATTATTCACAGAATGTTATTAATTTGATTTGAGGGATAATCATTTATGTGCTTAAGTCACTATATTTTAGAAGTGAGTGGGTGATATTGACTAAAACTAGTGCCCTGCTGTGGAATATAGATGTGAAAAGTCACTCATGTTGCATTATCCTGTGGTAGTCCTGATGAGTCTAAGGAATACTGGATCTTTTTGAAGGAAACAATTCAAGTTTATGAGTGTAATCTGGGATAAATCATGTTCTAAAGGATGAATACTCTAATTACTTGTCCTCATACTACTATTAACCATGATAAAAATATCTCAACAGTGATTAAAAAAATTCTCCAATTGCAGGTTAAACCTCTACATGTAGCATAGTGAAAGCTTTTCTATGATGTTACCATCGATAGTCTTGTAGCTGCATTCAGACCTTTTTAAATGTCTTTCTTCTTTAAATTAACTTTTGTAGTTACTACCATTTTTAAAAAATGTTCTAAAGTTCAAGAAAGTAAGTTTTGAAACAGGAAATTAAGATGCTCAGTGTTCACTTATTCAGGGCAGTAATACATAGAAAATCACCAAATTCCCTACCTTTTCCATTAATCACTTGCTTGCCCTATTAATTATGTCTTCTATAATTTTATTTTCATTATCAATCTAAAAACAGTATCATTGCATTTTTGCACTGTGATGTGCTGATGACTCTTATAAAACTTCTAATTCCATTTAAATCCATTTATCATTGATGTTTGGCTGCTGTGGATGGCATCAGTGTAACCCACAGATAGTATCATACCATTTTTCTAATCATTAATTTCTACCCTTTTTTTGGTACTGAATTTGTTTTGAGTGATAATATCATCAAGGAACAGATTACAGCTTCAACTCTTTAGTTGTACATATTTTAGTTGTGAAATTTGCATAATTTCTAACTTGCATAACTAGGAATTTCAGATTTTCAGTTGTGTGTAGTAATATGGCCACTTTGTAGTAACTAAACTTTAAAGATTGACATCCTAGGTATGCAATACTAAGGTTAAATCAGACACCCTGTTTTAAGTTCATTTCATTAGTTTTAACATATGGCCCTTATTGATGGAGGAGTGTATTTCTGGAGAAAAGATCACTTTGATCAATTGATATCAGTCTAGAATCTTATGCTCATAAAGCTTGGTAGGCCTTTAAAATATCCTTTACAATAACAGCCCTTTATATAGGGAAGCCTATGTGTAATTTGCTCAGACAAAACTGAGTAAAAAATAATTGTAATTTATACATATGTAGGGATTACTATACGCAAGGCATCAAGGTTAACTTTTAATATGTCATTTAACTCCATTTGGGCTGTTTTAATTAAAGTATGTTAAACTGAGTGCCTTATAGATGACAGGAATTTATTTCTCACAGTTCTGGAGGCTGGGAAGTTCAAGATCAAGGCACTGGCAGATTTAGTGTCTGGGGAGGGCTACTTCCTGGCTTATAAATGATTCATTTCACTGTATCCTCATTGGGTAGAAAGGGCAAACCTGTTTTTTTGAGTTTCTTTATTAAAGGCACTAAACTTTTATGAGGACTCTATCCTCACTATCTAATTACCCACCGAAGGCCCCGCCTGCAAATATCCCACATTGTCAACATTTATAAACATTCATTTTGTGGCACTTTATATGCCTATGTGGCATAGGCCCTGTAATGAAATTTTTTCATTTTATATATATATATGAGGAAAATCATTCTCAAAGAATTTAGTTTCCAAAATTAAATGGCCAATGAGTAGTAGAGTTATGACTGTCTGATTCCATAGCCTGAGCTCTTAACCAGTATTTTATTCCAGTTTAAAGACTTAAATGGATCATATTGAAGTTATTTCTTTACCTAGGTGTAAATCAAAAAGCGTTGTTATTGGCAGAGTTCCTACTGTAACTCTGCAAAATTGTGCTTCTTTGATGTATGCATTATTTTTCTTTTGTAGCATCAATTTTATTTGATCAATAACTTGATTGTTTTGGTTATGCTCTTAATGTGTTATAATACAGAAGGAAAGACGCTATCCTAAAACTTTAAACTAATTTGGCTTTTGAAAAAGGTTAACTTAATCTATTGTACTATAAAGTTAAATTACTTGAAGTCGATGTTGGTTATTCCCTCATTTTAGTTAAGATGAAGGCAGAGAAGAAAAAATGGATAAAGGTATAGGTGGGAAAAACTGAGCCTTATACTAATCTGTTTTTCCTAGAAGTCTTACTTGCCTGTCTCTTTTCTCTTCATGCTCAGAAGATTCTTCAGTGTTTTGCCAATTTCAAAAGAGGATACTACCATTACAAATTAAAGTGGTAGGGCCCAGGGCCAGGGATTTAGCTCAGTGGTTCCTCTGCGTGCCTTGGAAGCACAAAGCCCCAAGTTCGATCCCTGGTACCAAAAAAAAAAAAAAAAGTAGGGAATTTAGCTCAGTGGCACCATGCCTGCCTCACAAGAACAAGGTCTTGAGTTTGATTCCCTGTACTCCCCCCAAAATTTAAATGGTAATGAATCCAGAGACCAGTTAATCTTAATGGCATATATTTTTCCATTCAATTTATATGTAGTTGCTTTCAAATAGATATTTCTTATTGTACTAATTGTAGAAAATAAGCACAGTAAAACCTGCCATCAAGATTCAACACAGTAAATCTTTTGGGGATTTAACTCAGTGGTTCTGCTACCTGCCTCGCAAGTGCAAGGCCGAGTTTGATT